ATCTATCTATCTATCTATCTATCTATCTATCTATCTATCTATCTATCTATCATCTGTCATCTATCTATGTATGTTGAGGATTGAACCTAGTACAAGTGTTCTACCACTGAGCTATTCATCCATTCAATCACTTGTTAAGTTGCCCAGGGTGGTCTTGAGCTCACTTTGTAGCCTCAGGAGACTTTGAACTTGCAGTTCTCCTGCCTCAGTTTCCCAGCAGTTGGAATTACAGGCCTGCACCATCAGTTCCAGCTGACACCATACCTTATTAAGATTCAAGACATGGAAGAATTCCTTGGCACTCTGCTGGGAAAGCTGGACTCCTTCCTCCACAGTCACACAGCTGTCACATGCCAGGCAGTCACTCAGAAATATCTTAGCATCTGCCAACTTATGGAATTCTCCCTTCTAGGAAAGAAAATGGTGTTAATATTGTTTCTTTTTCTTTCTTTCTTTTCTTTTGTTTTTGTTTGTTTATTTGTTTTGTTATTTAGATTTTTGGGGTTTTTTTTTTTTTGGTTTTTCAAGACAGGGTTCCTCTGTGTAGCCTAGAATTCTAGAGTTTGATCTGTAGACCAGGCTGGCCTCAGACTTAGAGATCCACCAGTTTGTTTTTATGTTTTGTTTTGTTTTATTTATTTTTTTGGTAGCACTGTTTCTCTAGGGAGTTTAACTGCATAAGCACAATAAAGAAAAAACTCTACACTTAACATGGAGACAAAGTCATGCCTGAATGCCTGAAGTGTCAGGCAGAGCTACTGAGCAATGGTCACTGTTCCGAAAGCTCACGGCAGTGGAGGCACATGTCATGGCACAAGGCCCCTGATGGCACTTAGCAGATGACCAAGGGTGAACCAGATCCAGTGTTATCATGTGGAAAGATGATGCTCCTGTTTGCTGCAAACTGGCCTGATGGCCATCTTCTCCTCCTTCCACCCTTCCTCTCCAGTGCCTGTGAACAAGCCTCAGGTTTCCCCCGCCTAGCTCTTCCAGCTCCACACTGCTGAGCAGAATTTCCATACAGTCATGAGTGGCTTGAGGTTTCCACCTATGTGCAACACAGACCTCAGCTCCCAGCTCCGAACTGCTGGTGCCCATTTCTGCCCCACTCCCATCTCAGGAAAGGGGTACTGAATACCTGGATGCTGGGACTCTAGGACCTTGGTGCCTTTAACCCCATTTTGTTTTTGCCCCTGTGCCCCATCCTTGTCCTTTTTAGTCCCCAGAGAAATCCACTAAAGCACGAGCCGCATTCCTGCTGCTCAAAGCCTCTGACAGCACTCTCTCGGAACAGGGACCACAGCACAGCTCTTGCCTGCCCTGCCCTGCCCTGCCCAAGGGCTCACGTTCAGCCACGCTGGTTTCGTTCATGAATTTTTCCACAGGAAATATCCCAAAAGAGCTCTCACTCACCCCTTGGCCCTAACAGAGCTGGCATCCTGATGTTTATTGTCAGTGCCCACTACCACAGTGTCAACTTGCTTGTCCCCCCTGCTAATGACCTCACAGAGGCTGGCAACTTAAGTTCCTTATGTCCAGCACCTCTAGAAGGCGCTGAGGTGCTAGAGAATAAAATAAGCCGGGAGATGGCGGCACGTGCCTTTAATCTCAGAACTCCCGAGGCAGAGAAAAGATCACTGAGCTCAAGGCCAGCATAGAATAGACCAAGTTCCAAGCCATAGGGATGCATAGTGAGATGCTGTCTCAAAGAGAAAAATAAGCAAATAGAAGCTGGAGATGGCTCAGCAGTTAAGAGCACTGCTTGCTCTCCCAGAAGACCCAGGTTTGATTCTCATCATCCAAATAGTGGTTAACTGCTGTCTGTAATTCCAGTTCCAGGGGACTCAAACACCCTCTTCTGATCTCAATGGGCACCAGGCATTTATGTGGTGCAGACATCTGTCTGATGCTCCATCCTACCTTGAATTCTCACCTTAAGGGCTCAGTCTACCAACTCTTCCCCAAGAATGTCCACACTACATTGCTCAGGTGCTGGTTAGACGGTGTTCAGACTTATCTCATTCTCACCAAAACCCTGAGAGGGAAGAAAGCCAACTCCCACAACACTGATAAGAAACAGGGCCTCAAAAGATTGTGGGTTTATTTCATGTTGTTTGGAGATGGAATTTTGCTGTACAGTCTAGGCAAGCCTCAAACTCATGACACTGACAACCTGCCTCTACTTCTCAGGTGTGTGCTCGCATCCGATGGGATTGGATTTCTTTCCAAATCATGAAACAGAGCGTAGGCACGAGGGAGCAGTCCTGGAGTCTAAAGCACTGGCCCAAACTGACCCAGAACTCCAGGGGCCACTGTTGTCCCCCAAAGGCTCAGTCTCAAAAGCACAGCAATGGCACACTGGAGAGCAAGAGCTACGCCCAACAGATTAAACAGAACATCAGAGCTACTAACTCTAAGGGGGAAAACCCGCTACCTACCTCTCCCATGTTATTAATTCTCCGCTTATATAAAAAAGCTGTTTTTGTACACTGACTGACTGCTTGCCTAATAGTGGGGAGGGGGGAGCTAGAGCCACGGCACATGTGGTGGTATAGAGGTAGAAAGACAACTTGTAAATGTTCTTTCATGTCATCTATGTGTTCACATGTCACACATAGGTCCTGGGAATCACACTGAGATCCTGAGGCTTGGTGGCAAGTGTCTTTTGCCAGCTGAGATATCTAAACAGTTCTAAAATCAATTTGTCTCTTTGAGATTGAGCTCAGGGCCTCAGGCTAGCTAGCCAACCAGTCTGTTGACTTCAATCCTTATCTCTCAGTTATTGTTTTAGAGACAAGGTTTCATTGTATAGCTTAGACCGGACTCAAACTGGGACTCCACTGGTATGCCACCATGCCTGACTAGTCCTAATACTTTCTAAGAGAACAGTGACCGTAACTTTCTCTGTGAATCCAGAACATGGCAGGACACATGCAGAGGCAAATGCCCCCAGAGCATGAAGTAAGTAGGTATAAAACCCAGCTCAGACTGTGGTGTGTAATAAGTACAAAACAAGCATCGCCGTGGTGAACTCGAGAAACAGCCACCTAAACAGCAAGCTTAAAGTCTTTTCACATGTTACAGAATCTAAATCCCTTCTACTTCACAGAACACAGGTTTCAACAGTGCAGCAGGGTGTCCCTCTCTCTCACGGCGTACCTGACCTGGTGTTTGACTCAAGACTGGCCTATACACGGCCCTTGCCACTTCTTACTTCAATCTTTCTTAGAGCGTGAAGTGCAAGGTGATATGAACTCCTAACAGGAGAAGACACATTAGGCAGACACAAACTCAAATGTTTACTTGCCTCTTCATTCTCCTGGACTGGACTTGATGCATCAGTGGACACATTCTCCTGGTCATCAGTTTTTGATTTTTTACTACATTCCTTTAAAAAAAAAAAAAAAAAAAGAGGGGACGGAGAAGAACAAGGAAACGTTAGAAAGGGAACTTTCTTCTTCTATTTTCTTTATCTTAGCTTTTGTTGAGATCAGGCCTCTCTAAATAGCCCTGGCAGGCACTATGTAGACCAGGCTGACCTCAAGCTCAGAGAGATCCTCCTGTCTCTGCCTCCTGAGTGCTAGAATTAAAGTGTGTGCTACCATACCAGGTTTTTAAAAAATGAGATAGGCTCTTGATAAATTGCACTGTCTAACTTTTAGTTTGTGATCTCCTGTCTCAATCTCTCAAGCACTAGGATCACAGGTGTTTACCACCAAGCTCAGCCAAGAACAACCTAGCATGATTCTCTCCATTATCAAAACACAAAACATATCCTGAATAGTTAGTGTTACGTCTAGAAACCCTTTCTACAGAAATAAAATCATCCATATTTAAAGATGGATACACATAAACCCACACCTCCATCTGCATTGCTTTTAGTAACTAAGAACAGAAGTGATATAACCGGAACGGCTACCAGAACACTTAAATGTGGCTATCACACGAGAATACAAGTGATTCCCTGAAAGACGTTTAATTACCACTTATGGTGAGAAGTAAAAAAAGAACAACTTATGGGGTGTTTGGATATGATACAATCCCTGTCAAAAAAGAAAAAGAAAAAAAGGTTCCTGCACATGCATCACATGGCTATCCCATGTGGAACCAAGTGTGGCGGCTGTCAGTCATTTCAATCACCCAGCGGAGCAGGACAGGAGGGCCTGCCCTTAATTCCTTCTCCGCTTGTTTTCATTGATACTGTAAGTATGCTGGTTTGTTGTCCTTGTATTAATGTAAGAGTCAAGACATTTCCGATCACTGCATTAAGCCTTGACTTCCACAACAGCGTGTCAGGACTGAGATGGAGCACCGACCCCACAGCGAGTCCGGCGGTGCAGCCGCCCGCAGTGGCCGGCAGCCAGCTCGCCGCCCGGTCCGTCCCCGGCAGACAGGTGACGGCTACCAGAGACTGACATGCTAGAAGGGAAGGTGCACGCGGCCGAGCCCGACTCGCGGCACTATCTGCGCGGTCTTGGCTTTCGTCCCCGGTCCCACCAGACGCCGCACCCACCTTCCGTGTGCAGTGCTCACACTTCATCTGGAGCGGGACTGGCGGGAGGCCGACACCCCTCAGCTAAGCCGAACGAGGAAGACTGGAACACCGCCGCCTGCCGCTGGTTAGCGACCCAAGACCCTTTGTTGTCTTCATCCGCGGAGGCCACGCCCCCAGGACGGTGGAGGACCAATGAGAGAGTCGAAGCAAGATGAGCCACGCCCCTGGACCAATGAGACGAGCGCGAGGCTGGTATGGCACACCCACGCCTCCTCTTCCGCCTAGGCCAATGAGAGGGCCGGGAAGTGGCAGGTCCCTCCTCAGAGCCAATCAGAAAATGGGGGAGGAGCTTGTCCTTCCGGCTGGAAGTTGACAGGCCGGGTTAAGGTCCGCGGGTGAGAGGGGCCACGGTAGGCGGAGGCGGCGGAGAGAGTGCGCTGACCGAGCGGAGGACGCGGTCCGCGGCGACGCAGAGCTCCTTGCGCGGAGGCCGAGGCCTGGTCGCCTCAGTGAAGCCACTGCAGCTCCTCGAGGGCGGGGTAGGCGCCGCCCTCTGCCACCGCCATGACCACCCAGCCAAGCCTCACGTAGGCTGGTGCGGTAAAAGTGCACATGCGCAGCAGGCTTGCGTCGCTTCGTGAGCTTGGCTGAGTCTGAAGGGCTGACCTTGAAGATTGGCATGGTATACCTTAAATCACTTACAGTTAAGAAAATACTAAAGTTCTGCCGGGCATGGTGGCGCACACCTTTAATCCCAGCACTCGGGAGGCAGAGGCAGGCGGGTCTCTGAGTTCGAGGTCACTCTTGTCTACAAAGAGAGTTCCGGGACAACCAGCCAGCGCTACACAGAGAAACCCTGTCAAAAACAAAACAAAACACAAAAACAAAGCAAAAGAGTCGGGTAGCATAAGTAGGAATGTTGATTTTTTTTTTTAAAGTTTTTCGAGACAGGGTTTCTGTCCTCGAACCCACGGAAATCCGTCTACTTTTGCTTCCTGAGTGCTATGCATAAAGGTGTGCACCACCACCACCAGGCTTTTTTTTTCTTAAGATTTATTTTTTTTTATTACGTATACAGTGTTCTGTCTGCTGGCCAGAAGAGGGCACAAGACCTCAGATGGTTGTGAGTCACCATGTGGTTGTTGGACTCAGGACCTCTGGAAGAGCAGGCAGTGTTCTTAACCTTTGAGCCGTCTCTCCAGCCCTCTTTTGGTGTAGGTTTGTAATCCCACCAATCCCAGCCACCTCAGGAGACTGAGGCAAGAGAAAGGTGAAATCAAAGCCAACCTGTCCTACACTGCTGCACAGTGAGACCTGTCTCAAAGACAGACTAAACACCTCATTCTTTTGCTGTGGCATTGGAGTCTACTGGGAAAGACCAAAGACTTAGACTCAACTCAAATTTCAAGTAAATGGATTTATTCTTACTGTCACCAGAAGGGTGGCAGCCTTAGAGGCAAATAGCATGCTGAAACAGGAGCTAAGTGAAGGGTTTATAAAGGTGGATATCAAAGGTATACATTACAGTTATCTAGGGAATGCACAGTGGGGCAAGAATATTGTTTTTTCTCCCTTCATTACAAAAACAAAATGCAAACAGTTAATCGCTCACAACAGGAACACCATTATACCTCTGTGTGTGTGTGTGTGTGTGTGTGTGTGTGTGTGTGTGTGTGTGTTTCTCTGTAACAGTTCTGTTTTGAAACTCGTGGTTGTAGACCAGGCTGGCCTCACAAAGATCTGGCTGTGTCTGCTCCCACCCCCTCCCTGTACCTTTATCCTGTTCTTACCTCACCTGCAGGCCACAAGGATGTCACAAGCATTACAGGGGTCAACAGCCCTTAAGGAATGCCTGGTACCATAATAAGTGCCTTTAGCCATCACAGGGGAGTTAAGTGTAAATTATTACACAGTACAGAGCACTTTGGGAGAAGTGTCTCTAATGAGTGGGATACAGTCGTTTGTTTCTGGCAGTCAGTCACACAGTGCCATCAGGTTAGGGCTGGTCGTCACATCCTGGTTCAGTATCTTGTGTGATGTTTTACTCTTTTGGCTTTTTTGAGGGCCCACCACCCAGCTCCCAAATTGCACAAATACTATACCACTATAGCCTGTCTCAAAAATAAGTAAATAAATCTAAAAAATAGAAGTAAATATTCTATACTGAGCTTCATCCTTAGCCCTGCAAGATGCTTTCTTATGGCATACTGAACTCTTTTCAGACATGTACTTACTTCTTACTTTGCAGTGTTGTATGACCGAACTTTGCCTGGGGAGACACAACACACATACACATTTACTCACCCCAGATGGGGAACCCATAACGGATCAAAGTATGGGTATTAATAAAGTCCAACTTGGTGAAGCAATAAGTTTTATTAGGTTACTTACAGGAGCAGAAATGATCAAAGACAGCTGCATCACCAAAGCCAACGATGGCCTGGGTGACAGCTCACAAGTCCGGAAACCTGGAGCACACCCCACAGCCTGCAGGCAGCTCAAGAGGTTGGAGAGTGTCCTTCCCAGGTGCCTCAGTTGGTCTAAACATCTTCCAGGTAGCTGGTCTGATCTGAGAGTCTTCTTTGTAGCTCAACATCCTTCTGTCTGAGAGGCTGTCTCGAGCAGGGAAAAGGCCTAGTGAATCTGGTTATTTTCAGAAGCTATTCTGAGTTACCTTCCTGCTAAAGGAGCTTCCTACAGGATGGAATGGTTTTTTTGTGTTTTTTGTTTGTTTGTTTGTTTTTGTTTTTCAAGATAGGATTTTTCTTTAGCTTTGGAGCCTGTCCTGGAACTCGCTCTGTAGACCAGGCTGGCCTCGAACTCACAGAGAACCACCTGACTGCCTCCAGAGTGCTGGGATTAAAGGCATGTGCAGCTGGTCAGCTGGTTTTCAATCTACCTTTCAGACCCTCAGCTACACACACAAAACTGGAGCTTCTGCATGCATGCAAATGCTCGATCACTAAACGCCAAACCAGAGAACAATTTTAGCTTACTACATTGGTACTTTCAGTGTTACAGCTCGAGGGGAAGGCTTCTCCAGTGGAAGTGTTACAGCTCTGTCCTGAGAGGAAAGGCTTTAAAGGGGCACTAGCTCACGAGCATGTGGCTCACGCAGGCCTTGACCTTCTTTCCATTCCCTCTGCTTTGCTAAAAACCGTTAGATTACATTCTTAAAGCTAGCCACTAAGTCTTTCCTCCTGGTCACTTCCTCCTTCTGAGGCTGACTACCAAAGTCCAGCAATCGAAAGCCCCCTTTGGTTAACCTAATTAACATGCCCAATTAAAGTTAACACATCCTAACACGGGTTTTCCCCTTTACCTTTATAAACTGTCATTTGCCTGTGTGCCACATGTCTCCTCTCTATCCAGAGGCAGCCCTTTGTCCCTCCAGAACAGATACCCCTACCCTCTTTCCTTATCGCCTTCCTTTTCTCCTTCATCCCCTAACTCCTTTATCACCACATCCTAGCTCATCATAACACACACCTCCCTCCTCCTCCTCCTCCTCCTCCTTCTCCTCCTCCTAAAAATTACACCTGCTGCTGTTTTGTGCCTAAGTCAGAGAGAGCAGCCACTTTAACTTTTGCCTCCACTTAATAAAGGATGTCTGTAAGAAAACAGGTGTTTGGGTGTGGTTTGTGCTTGACCCAGGGTCTGGGAGGAAGCCGCAGCTGTTGGCGGGGGGGGGGGGGGGGGGAGGGGTTTCTTTCAGGCTTCTCCAACAGAAGTGTTACAGCTTTCCTCTGTGGGGAAAGATTTCCCCAATACGAGTTTGGCGGCTCTGAGGGAATTCCCACGCCCGTGATACAGCTTGGAAGTCTTCTCCAAAGGAGCTGTTGCAACTCTGAGGGGAAGGTTTCCCCCTATGGAAGTGTTGCAGCACTGAAGGAAAAGGCATTCTGGCAGTTTCAAGCCAAGGAGTAACACAAAGTTACACAGCACAACAAACCTCACACATGGTTTATTGGGAGAAACACAGAGTTATTACCTCTGCTCAGGTGAGAAGCAGCAGGGAACTGAGCAGGAGACAGGTTTATATAGGGTTTCCTGAAGGAGGAGATTTCCAAGGTGAGAATTGGTGAGATTTAAAGCCAAGCCCAGGGATAGGTGGAATGTCTAGCTAAGGAATTGATGTTTTTTCATGCTCAGAGATTGGTGGGTTTTGGTAAGTTTTCAAACCTGGAAGTGGGCTCAGACCTTACAGGTACAGTCAGAGGTGTCACCTACAACAAACCTACCAGGAGAAATAATTTATTACTAGGCTGTGTGAACTCCAAAGTTAGTGATTTAAAAAATTGGCTGGGCGGTGTTGATGCACGACTTTAATCCCAGCACTTGAGAGGCAGAGACAGGCAGATCTCTGTGAGTTCGAGCCCAGCCTGGTCTGTAGACAGAGTTCCAGGACAGGCTCCAAAGCTACACAGAGAAATCCTGTCTCTAAAAACAAAACAAAATAAAAATTAACCTAATGTAGCTGGGTGCGTTGGTACATGCCTTGAATCTCAGTACTTGAGAGGAAGAGGCAGGAGGACCTCTGTGAGTTTGAGGTCAACCTGGTTTACATAAAGGAACCATTCAAGCTGTAAAACACTCAGTCACATTCCACTGTGATGGCTAAAGTTATGTTGATAATTAATGTTAATTTTTTTGTTTTGCTTTTTGAGACAGGTTTCTCTCTAACTTTGGAGCCTGTCCTGAAACTCACTGGTAGCAAGTGTTGGGATTAAAGGTGTGCATCACCACCGCTAGGCTGCTAATGTTAAGTTTAAAATTTTAAAATCTCTGTGCTTAAGAGAACTATAATGCAAAATTAATTAGATTTCCAAAAGTTAAGGGCTGTTAAGGGTTAATTTTTCTTTTACTGCCGTTTCAACTTTATACTTAAATATTTGTTTTGGACAAGGGGATCTTATGGTCACATTAGAACAGAATATAACTTTGTATTCTTTGCCTTCAAAAACTACTGGCTGAGTTGGCTGGGGCTTCATTCAGGAATGAGTGCCAGGTATAGAGCTTGTTCAGCGCTAGCCTCCCTTTGAGCTGGGAGTTGGTGGCACACTTTTAATCCCAGCACTAGGGAGGCAGAGGTAGGAGGATCTCTGAGTCTGAGGTCAGCCTGGGCTACAGAGGGAGTTCCAGAACAGGCAGAGTTACACAGAAAAACCCTTCTCCAGAAACCAAAACAAATCAACAAAACCTCTTCTTTCTTAAAATTTATTTAACTAACTTTACTTTTTGGCGTCTGTAGTTGTGATTCTACCTAACTGTTCTTGTTAACTGAAATATGTTAACCCAGAATATGTTTTTTGTTCTTAAAATCTCACCCTGAGAAAGGTTTGGTGCTACACCGGGATCCTGAACACCCAGTGTAGTCACCGGCTGACTAAAGACTCTACTTCTATGTCCAAGCAGTCTTCTCTGGTGGATACCCCACACCACTAGGACAGGAAGGACTTCATAGAAAGGTCCTATCACAAGCAAACAAAAACAAAGAGGTTGATGCAGGTGTGTAATGGTCTGTCCTGTCTCTTTAAGAGATAAGTCCTGCTCCTCAGCACTTCTCATCCCCGCCCACTACCCTAAACCTCTCCACCACTGGGCTTCCCTTCCTATAAGACCCAGTCATTGTGACTAGGCACTCTCTTGGCCTCTTGACTCTCTCTGCCCTGTGGATCTTCTTTTGTCTCCCTCTCTCTCTTCCTCTCTTGCTCTGCCCCTCTCTCTTTCCTCTCATGGCTCAGTCTGTTCTGCTGGCCATGTTCAGTATGGCCTCTATTAGATGCCTCTGGTTGTACTTTCCTTTCTATCTATAATAAAACTCTCCTCAAATTTCATTTATTTTACATCTTTTGTTTGATCTACTTCAGGTAACCCATGTTTCCCATGCTGTACTAGTGTAACATCTTTATTATTTCCTTAAAATTCTAGATACAATCAGGTGGTAGTGGCACACGCCTTAAGTCCCAGAACTAGAGAGGCAGAGGGAGGATTTCTGAGTTCACCCTAATGTAGTAAGGAGTCACTTGTTTGTTCCCGGCCATTTAGCACTGAAATAATCACACAAAAACTGTACTAATTAAATCACTGCTTGGCCCATTAGCTGTAGCTTCTTATCAAGCTACATATTATTAAGCTACATATTAATAAGCTACAACTTATTAAGTTGGCTAACACTTATATCTTAATTTAACCCATTTCTATTAATATGTGTATCACCATGTGGCAGTGGCTTACCGACTAAAGTTCCCAGCATCTGCCTCCAGTGGGCTACATGGCTTCTCTCTGACTCTGCCTTTTTCCTCCCAGCATTCATTTTAGTTTTCCCTGCTTACCTCTATTCCCTACGCAGGCCCAAGACAATTCCTTTATTAACCGATGGTAATCACATCATACAGAGGGAAATCCCACATCACCCTAAGACCAGCTAGTCTACAGAGGGACTTCCAGGACAGCCAGGGCTACACAAAGAAATCCTGTCGTGATAAGCCAGTAAACAAACAAACAAATAATAAATAAATCGAAGGGAGCAGGTAAAAGCGCCATGGCCCATTTTAATGCCATGTTGACTTCAGACTCAATTTTACCTGTAGGATGAAACAAAGTTCTGGTTCCCAAGCCCTAGGGAAGCTGGAATCCTTCCAATAGCTGACCCACCTTTTTATACTTTAAAAAATGAATGGGTGACCCCAGCAGGCTCACAGAGCAGCCGCTATCGGGGGCAGAGACAGCTGTGGGTCCCTGCAAGATCCCCAGGGGCCATGTGAACAAGCAGGAGTGCATCCTGGGAGAGCAGCTGGCTGTGGGCAGGCAGGCACATGGCAGGCGGGCAGGAGACAGAGACATGGACATGTAAAATGAGATTGAAATATTTATTCAGGAGGTTATGGAGGAAAATGGGAGGGGGCAGAGAGAGAAAGAAAGACAGAAACAGAGAAAAAGGGAGAGAGAAAGCTAGAAACACATGTGCACATGCCAAGAGAAAAAAATAGAAAGAGGCCAAGATGGCCACGAGAGGTCAGAAGTCGCTGGGAGTGGGTGTGGCTTGTCCCTTAAAGGGACCAGAGATCAAAAGGAAAAACATTCCTGGATCCTTTTTATAATAAAAAGCAGGAGATTAGACACCACAGTTTGAAGGAATTGGGGCCGCGAATTCTCAAGACTGCTTCCGGCTGATTTGTGGGTGTCGTCTTTGAGGGGGGGAGACCCGAGAGAAGGCTGGGTGCTGGTCACATCCTGGCATAGTCGGTCTCTGCTCCCGACAAGTGTCTGTGGCATGGAAATGTCTGGTGTCCCTTGTACCTGGTTAGGGTATTGGCAGAAGAGAGGACAAAGTTAAATTAAGGGAAAAAAAAATTTAATACCAGGGAATTGACGGGGATGTATCTGACCCGGAATAACACACCTAATCCATAGAAATAGTCCTTAGCCATCTTTAGTTCTCTAGAAACATGGCTATTCTTAACAACAGAAAGAACAATAAATCTGATTGTGGACTGAAAAGTTTGCATTGATGGAACATTCAAGGAAGCTCCTTATTTATTTATTTATTTTGCTTTATGAGACAGGGTTTCTCTGTGTAGACAGTCCTAGCTGTCGTGGAACTAGCTCTTTTAGACCAGGCTGGCCTCAAACTCATAGAGATACAAGTGCTGGGATTAAAGGTCGCCCAGCTGATCAGCTCCTAATTTTAACTGTAACCTGGCACTTGTGATTTTTGTGCTTAAATACTTGCTTCAGTTGGCATTTGGGATCATGGTTCATATCAGCCCCCTCCTTGTCTCCCCTTCTTTTGTGCTGCCCTATATTCAATTTTTTAAAGATTTATTTTTCAACTTTTTAAAGATTATGTATACAATGTTCTGTCTGCATATGTATCTGCACGCCAGAAGAGGGCACTAGATCTCATTGTGATGGTTAAAGCCACCATGTGGTTAAAGGGACTTGAACTCAGAAGCTCCGGAAGAGCAGTTAACTCTTAACTTCTGAACCATCTCTCCAGCCACGCCCTACATTAAGTATTGCTTTGAGGTAACCTCTTGTGTCTGCTTGGGTTGATTCGGAGCCTCGGACCACAACAAAATAAAGAATGAATTTCGATCCACCCCTCAGGCTCCTAATACCACGCCCACGTGCTGCAGGGACACTGCCTGGAGTGACGCCACCCTTTGCAAGCTCCAGGTTAAAATCTGGCGCCCCGTGACCGGCCCGCCCTGCTGCACAAGGTCCCGCCCTGTGAGTGCCCAAACAGAGGCACAACTCCGAAATGCATAATCAGTCTCCACCCCTAGGAAGTCCCTACCGGGGTCTTAGCCCGGAAGTCCGCGGGACAGAAGTCCGGAAGTTCGAGAGATTGTGCTCTAGTCCCCTTCCGCTGATTCGGTACGCTCCCCTCGGTTCCCGCGCAAGTGTGTGTCCCGAGGCGTTCTGGTTCCGATCCGCTGTGCTTCCCTTTTTCATGTTCGTGCCCTGCGCGGGTCATTGCTTGCGGACCTGGATTGGGCACACGGAGGATTGAGCAAACGAGGCGCGTGCGGAGGAGCGAGCGGAACGGGCCGCTTGTGGAGCTTGTTGGTAACTGAGGCCAGAGGGAGGCGAGTTGAGTACCTAACTAGGATTCTTGAGGATGTAGGGTACGAAGCTTGATTGCACGGAGTATCCGCGGAGTCACTCACAACTGGGGCTTGGGGTGTTGTTTCCAGGGGTCTTGCCCGCAGTGTCCCACTAATTCGGATGCATTTGGGCCATTGTTAGTATGACAGTGGAAACTCAGACACTGGCACTTTCAGTTCCCCTTCTTGGTAGGAAGAAGAGTTTCTGGAAGACTCAGTTAAGGTGCCGGAAGCCTGAGAGTTGCTGGGGGCTAATAGAACAACTTCAAAACGAGGGTTCAGTCAAGGAAAGAATTCTCAGATGTGACTGTGACTTGGAACTGAGACCAGGCCTCACTTTCTGGGCTGTGTAGTCCTTTTGCCCATACATAATTGTGAGCTGAGATGGTCTCACGGAGAAAGGAGTTCTGGGTCTCCTGTGGGCTTTCCCTTGGCCTCCTGTAAGAGTGGGTGAGGTGCTATGTGTAGTGGTTGCAAACTTCAGCTGTGTCTTTCCCAGCTGAGTCTGCTGTGAAGTGAAACCCAGGTTCCAGGGATGTACATGCAGGTGGAGACACGAACCAGCACCCGCCTCCATCTGAAGAGGTCTCCAGGCATCCGATCTTGGTCCCTGCTGGTCGGTAAGGCTTCCCAGTTTTTCCCAATTCAAATCTTAAAAGTGATATAAACAGTTTCTTTGTATTTTATTAGAAGTTCTTCTCAATACAAGATCTGGTAGAGCATGTTTCATTAACCTTGGTGTGCCTTTCAGAGGACATGCAGGGTCCCCTTGCATGCTAGGCAAGCTCTCTTAACACTGAGATACATTCCAGCCTATCCTTCCCCCCCCCCCCCCTCTCTCGGGCTTTTTGAGACAGGGTTTCTCTGCGTAGCTTTGGAGCCCATCCTGGAACTCGCTAGGTAGACCAGGCTGGCCTCAAACTCACAGAAATCTGCCTACTCTGCCTCCCCAGTGCTGGGATTAAAGGCGAGCGCCACAACCTATCTGCTTTCTTGAGGTCACTAGTTTTTCTTCCATGTGACAGGTGATCATGGGTCCACATTTCTCCTTTTCCGTGTTTCCTTCACCTTCATAAGTGCTTAGCCTCCTGGACTCTCTCCCCCATCACTGCCTATCAGAAGTCTCTTGCATCTCAGGGACAGCTGCACTTGTGTGGGCTAGGCTGTGCAGAGTTGGAGGTGAAGCACTGGCTGTGACTTTGGCAGCAGCATCTCTGTAGTCTGTCCTTATGATTTGTGAAGGTTCTGCATGTTGTGCTCTGTGATGTGTTATAATTCTCTATGTAGTCTTCATTACTCATCACATGTGGGCGATACCTACATCTGTGTCATTTGCATTTTCATTGGGTTGCTGACAAGTCTGGTGAATGCCATGGATCGCATGTCCTGTTTTTATTTTTTAATTGTGTGTATGTGTATCCATGTATGGGTCTATCTATGCAGGTACATATAGATGCCCGTGGAGTCCAAGAGCATTAGCTCCCTGGAGCTGAAGTCACATGAGGTTGTGAATGGCCTGACATGTGTGCAGGCACCAAATGTTGTCAGACTTTTCTTTGGATCTCCAGCTCACAAATAACGAAATGGAAACTTATTGTGAAAGTTTGGCTTTTAGTTTAGGCTTGTCCCCAACTAGCTCTTATAACTTAATCTGCCCCTATTAATCTTCATTCTGCCACATAGCCTTTTTACTCTCCTCCATTCTGTATGTCCTACTTGGTCCTTTGCTAGCAAGTGCCTAGATTCATCCCAAGTTCCTTTCGCTGCCCAGAAGTTCCGCCTGTTGTCTCCTGTCTAGCTATTGGCTATTCAGGTTTTTATTAAACCAGTCACTGTGACACATCTTCACACAGTGTGATAAAATAACCCACAACAGTGCTGAGAACTGGGGTCCTTTGCAAAAAGCAGTCTATATTCTTAACCAATAAGGTACCTTTCCAGTCCCTTTGTTCATTTTTTAGTGATTTATTTTATGTATATAAGTACTCTATCTGTATGTATACCTGCATGCTAGAAGACAGCATCAGATGCCATCACGGATGATTGTGAGCCACCATGTGGGTGCTGAGAATTAAACTCAGGACCTCTGAAAGAGCAGCCAATGCTCTTAACCAGAGCATCTCTCCAGCCTCTTGTCCCCCATTTTTTTAAGTTCTTTTTTTTTTTTAAATGTACATTGGGGTTTGCCTGTATGTATTGTCTGTGTGAGTATTCTACATCCCTGGAACTGGAGCAACAGACAGTTGTGAACTGCCATGTGGGTGCTGGGAATTGAACCCAGGTCCTTTGTAAGAGTGGTCAGAGCACTTAACCACTGAGCCATCTCTCCAGCCCCTTGTCCCCCATTTTTAAACAAACTTCTTGGCTGTGTTACCAACTGCCCCTGAACAATCTGTCCTGCTATGAGACAGGCCTGCTTGTTGGGGGCTATAGTTAACAAGATAATCCTTCTCTCTCTACAGGAATATTATCCACTGGCCTGGCTGCTGCCTATTACAGTGGAGGTAAAGTATGCTATCCCCTTTAATTTCCTTGTACTTAGAAATGGGAACACACACACACACACACACACACACACACACACACACAGTGAGCAGTCCTGGTGTGTGTGGCCTTTGGGATGGCCTCTGCCTTGCCTTGAGAAATGACCACAGACAGTGTCTTGCATCTTAAATTTCTTCCTGTATAAAGTACCCCTGGAAGGAAGTTGTTTGGCGTTGGCCTGCCACAATGCCACAGGGAGGAATTATGTGTCCCGCACTATGACAAGGCTGTATAGATCTACCTATCTCCTAGATGGACCCAGGCAGAGTTTGGGATGCATATGTCTCCAGCAACCCAGGCAAGCAGAGAAACACAGTTGACTAAGCCTCTGACCTGAGCTAAAGGAAGGAAAGGGTGGGCTGGTAGGACCCTATGGACCTTGACTCCTTTAGCTAATGGGCTGATGTACTATGTCTGCTTGCAGATAGTCTGGGCTGGAAGCTCTTCTATGTCACAGGCTGCCTGTTTGTAGCTGTACAGAACTTGGAGGACTGGGAGGTAAGATGGCACAGCAACTCCCTTGCCATTTGAAGTGTCCGTCCCAGCCCAGAGGCACCTGGTTACCTGGAGTCAGCCCTTGACTTTGCTTGTAACATCCCTGGACTCTTCTAGAAGCTACTTGTTAACTGTTTTCACTGAGATTCTGTGTTCTGTGTGTGGGTTTTTTTTTTTTTTTTTTGTAGGCTTGCCTCAAATTCAAAAGTAAGCCTACTGCCTCAGCCTCTTGACAGGCATGAAGCACCACACTCAACTCACAGAAGTCTGCATAGTCCCTGGGCTGGACTGACTGCACAGGGCAGGGACCTGTGAGAACATGCAGCTAACTCACAGTTGGACCAGCTCCTGGGCTCTAAAGTTCAAGGGTTAGGGACTTCCTCTGACCATCCAGGACCTCACTGCAGGCCTAAGATAGTTAAAAGGAATCAGCAGAACTTACCTAGTACTAAGGGATGAACTTAGGTTCTCACACGTGCTGGGCAAGTGTTCTACCACTGAGCAGATACCCAGCCTGGTCTTGTTTTCATACAAGGAGAATGCCATCAGCTTTTTCTCATGTGCCCCTCACCCACAGGAGTACAAGAGGTCAGACACAGAAGCTGACCCTGGAAGAGAGCCCTGGAGGCTTTGGGGGTTGGGCTTCCACTGGGCAGCTTGAGTATCTGTGCCAGTGTGAGTGGGGAGGATGCCTCAGCATTAGCTGGGCCCTCTTCCTGGAGTTCTGTGTGTGGTTAGCATATATTGGTTTGCAGGAAGCCATTTTCAACAAGAGCACTGGGAAGGTCATCTTAAAAACGTTCAGCCTCTACAAGAAGCTGCTGACTCTTCTCAGAGCAGGCCATGACCAAGGTAAGAGTCGGTAGTTGTAATTTGGTGAAGGCTTGGGGAGGTCTGGATGGTTCACCTGCTCAGGGAATGACGGGCCTCGGACATATCCTGGCTTACACATACCCCGTCTTGCAGACTTAAGGACTCAGCGTATCGTGGAGGCTGGAAGCTCCTCTGCTCTCTGAGGTTGGGTGAGGGATGAGGGTAGTAGGGGTGGATCACCAGGCAGACCTAGCAGGGAGTCATCCTGTTCTTCAGGAACCACTTGGCCCCTCTCAGTCCTGAACACGATTCCTGTCAGCTATACGAGCCCTGCATGGGAGGATGGTCAGAGGAAACCTCCAGCCCTTGAGCTTCTGAGCTAGCCTATGAAGTAACAAAAGGTTCTCATAGGTCTCTTCCCTGTGTATTCAGCCCAGCCATTGTGCATTACAAACATGTGCAACCCACAGGACCCTCAGAGTAGGCTTTTAACATAAGGAGTTCGGCCCCAAGGACTTCAGGCCTCTAACTTGTATGGAGTGCTGGCAGTACACAGCCGGATGTGGCATTCAGATGTGGCAGTATACAGCCAATGAAGGCCAGAGCAGGTTTGTGGGGATGTGAGTTAGTGCACTGGCTGAGCTTTCCTGGCACATCCGAGAGCCTGTTCCACAGGCAGCAAGCCACAGGGTCAGCCCCATGTCATTGTCGCAGTGGGATGAGATAGGTTTCCCAGTGGCTGTTGGGAAAGTAGTATCAGCCATGCATTAGTTAGGCAACGGTTTTCCTGTGCAAGGAAATGGCAGGACTACCCCACTGGAACCAGATATGCTTTCCAGTGTTAGGTAAAATCAGGCAAAAGGTTAGCATGAAGATGGCAGCTTGGGCTTAGTGATCTCTTCTGTAGGATTGCTCAGGACAGCCAGCTTCTGCCTAAAACTGCAGGGGTGATGAGTCCCCTGGGTGTATTCTTATCCAGAAATTATTCTGGGGCCTGGCAGTGGTTGGAGGCAGAGGCAGGCGGATCTCCATGAGTTCAAGGCCAGCCTGGTCTACAGAGTGAGTTCCAGGACAGGCTTTAAAGCTATAGAGAAACCTAGTCTTAAAAAAAAAAAAAATCTTCTGGCCCCACAGTGCAGAATAAGGACTAGCCAATGCCTCTGTCACTGATGTCGCTCCTGTTCAGCAGAGCTGGACAGCCTGAGGCAGGCTGTCCTACGGCATAGGGGAGAGCATATGGATAACCGCCCATCTGTAAATCCTTCTGTCCCCAGTGGTGGTCCTGCTAAAAGACATCCAGGATGTGAATGTGGAGGAGGAAAAGGTCCGTTACTTTGGGAAGGGCTACACTGTGGTGCTCCGGTTCGCAACAGGCTTTTCCCATCCCCTTACTCAGAGTGCAATCATGGGCCGACGCAGGTAAGGGTGGTACAGAGCAAGATTGGGCATCCCTTGGTGTTTCTTGGGGCAGCAGGGGAGAAGCTGAATGTTTGTAGACAGGAATATGGGGCTGTAGGAAGGATGTATGTACTTAGGAGCAGCTTTGCTATGGGTATCTGTAGGGGAGGCAACAAAACAAGGTTGAGGCTGTTAAGAGTAGGACTGAGGCCAGAGATTCTGGGCCCATTTGGGACACCTGGGGTTGTTGTAGGTGTATGGTAGGGGATCAAACAGTGTGGGTCTTTGTGGTGTGTTACGGAATTGCACTTTTTCCATGGTGACCTGTGACCTGCTTTCTTGATGCTGGCCTAGTGATGTGGAAGCCATTGCCAAACTCATCACTAGTTTCTTGGAGTTGCACCGCCTGGAGAGCCCCTCAGAACGGTCCCAAAGCAGCGACAGTGAAGCCGATGGCCCTAGTGACCAAAGCTGACAGTGTGGAATGGCTGCTGGTAAATGCCACCCCTTTCTGACATGTCTCCAACTGACTTGCCAGTTATGATCTGTGCAGACAGATTTTGGGCATCTGACTGGCTCCTTGGGCAGTTCTTGTGTGGACCACCTGCCTTTTGCTTGTTTACGCTTCTACGCTTTGCAGAACCATGGGCTGGACATCTTCCACAACCCAGAAAGGCCGCATCTATCAGGATGCAGGAGGTGGGTACTACATCCAGAGGAGGGCAGCAAATTAGAAATGAGTGCCTTCTCCAGGGACAGACTACAGCTCCGGTTTAGGCCACAGCCTGGTTTGGATAAGCTCACCAAAGGGCATCCAAGGTATTAGATGCCAGTCTTTCTTCAGCGCAGCTCTGGTATCTGCCTTGAAGAGGCCCTGCCACCCCAGGCTACGTAGTCAAGGCTCCACTTCACAGTGAGAGTGACACCCACATGCATGTAAGGAGGACCCACTCCTTCTGTGCACAGTGGTGCCGACTTGTTATAGATCTTGATGTCTCCTCTCCCTGACCAGCCCTCCTCAAGATGAACATTCCTGGTGGTCAGGGGCTTCCCTGAAGGCAGCTCGAATGCTGAATGCCCGGGTGCTGCCTGGCTGCAGAACTCTGAGAAGTCAGAGTGCTGCTGACTGCCCTGGTTCCTGCCTGGGACCACTGAGATTCCAGCAGTGCTGTAGCACCACTGTTAGGAACAGAAGGCTCTCCCAACCCAAACCAGGAAGAAGCTGCCAGTGGGGGAAAGGCCACCTCTTCTGGTTTTCTGCAGCCTTTGAGAACCGGGAGCTCCTTTTCAGAAAAATTGAGGCTTAGCCTCCCAAGCCTTGAAAAGACCTGGGGAAGACAGGCACGTGATACACATCCCTACAGATCCCAGCCTTACAAGTGAGGCAGGAAGAAAGTTCAAGACCAGCCTGGGCACGGCCTCTTCTAACAGAAGCTGTTCCAGCCCCTGACGGCCTTCTCTGCTCTTCTAGCTCTCTGAGCTGACTCAAGTCCCTCAAAAGCACAGTGTTCACTAAGTTGCAGGAAGCTTGGCTTCCAGGCCGAAAAGCTGTGGACCTCTGGTCTACACACAGCCCCCAAAGCTGTGTGCCTATCCCTGGCCAGGTAGAACTGGGAAACTGAGGAGTTATAGAGACAAAGAGGTCAAGGCAGCCTTGGGGCCATTGTACTGGGTTAAACAGGAATAGTTAGGCCAGAACCTTTAACACGTCTTTTTAAAGTGACTGCTATCAGTTCTGACTTGGGGAATATGGTTGAACATGTCAAAGTGAGCTTTTTTGTTTTGTTTTTTGAGACAGGGTTTCTCTGTGTTTCTCTGGCTGTCCTGGAACTTGCTCTGTAGACCAGACTGGCTTTGAACTCAAGAGATCTGCCTACCTCTGCCTCCAAGTGCTGGGATTAAAGGAAGGCGTGTGCCACCACTGCCTGGCAGAATGAGTTTTTTCAACGGTCGAATTAGACCATTTTTTCTTCACAAATGAAAAGCTGTTGCGTTTTGACTTGTTGCCTACAGGCTTGTAAGGTACTTTAGACAAGGGGGGAGTCTGTCTCTTGGGTGCTGTCCTATCCCCTTCCTGTATTTCCCAGTGCTGGGACTCATTCCTGGGTGAAGGAACAAAGCCCCCTAGAGCCAGGTAGTGGCAAGAAGCTGATTCAGGTTTCTGCTAGTGGGGCTCCTGCTTCTGCTGGTCTTTTTATTTCATAATAAAGCTCTACATGCAAATTGCAAATGAGTCTTCATGTGCCTTTTCTGGGTTCTGCTTTGCCTAAGGTTACTATTTACAGTTTGGGAGCCTGTCTGCACAGATGTCCAGGGCTCAGCAGGAGTCTTGGTGTTGTCCAGGCTGATATGCAGGGCCCCAGCCCCTCAGGGGTTCTGAGCTGGGGGGTGGCAGCAGTGGGGCAGCCGCCTCACCCAGGTCCTGCAGCAGACCCTGCAGTCGCTGCATACTCGGAAGCACGTTCTCCTCCAGCCACTCCTCTATGGTGTCCGGGTAGAAGGCCAGCTGCAGGGCCGCCTCCAGCTGCTGCACAAGGCTGCTCCACCTGCTTAGAAGGCTGCGGGCAACAGCGGCGTGAGCTCAACTTGATGAGAATTCCTGCTAAAGCTCAAGTTTACATAGCTCAACTGATGTCCTCAGCCCCCAGGGCCAGTACTGCTCCATGCCTCAGTTTACCATTGGGACAAAATAAATGAACGACTGGTCATATTTTAGCAGTACCACTGTCTGGCATGAATGGATCATGCTACTGGCAGCACACTGGCCTCAGCACAACTGGATTCTTAGCCTAGCTTAGAGTCCTGAACCAGGAGAGGAAAGTGCAGGCTGCCTGGGGTTCCAGCCACAAGGGTGCTCAGCTAGGTTGTGCCAGGGAGTTACATGGCCACCATGGACCGTATGTGGCCTTATTTCAAAGATGAGTCTTGGGTCCATCTGAGTGGCTGATGATCTGTCTCAGGCCAGGAACCACTTAGCTTCTTGCTAATATTAGGGGCAGTGTTAATGAACAGTGACCTATCAATTCATCCAGGATCCACAGTGGTAGTATCTGGAGAACTTTCTTGCCTTAACACTGATAACCATAATCATGGCTACTGTGTGTGTTCATAAAGGGGAGATATTCCAGAGACTGAGCACTTGGGAGGATGTGATGATGTGGCTACCTGAGTGCCTCTGGCTGTATGTGCTGGATCATAACCGGGTGGATGAGCTTCCGCCTGCGGTGGTAGGGGCTGAACCAGCCAGTGACATACCTGGAGCAAATCCTGACAGTTAGTGAGCCAGCGGTGGGTAAGAGTAAACTGTGGGGAAACTTTAGAAGAGTCTTTGTAAAGAACAATGCCGGGAGAGAGATGGGGTGGCTTACCTGTTCCTTTCCAGAAGTGTATCCACAGAGCTGCGCAGGTGGAGGCTGACTTGTGTGACGAGGGCATGGATGTCACTGCCAGGGAAGGAGCCAGCTCCCTCACTGCCAGAGAGTCACACTGAGATAGGTGTTCCCCAGAGGATGGAGGGGTGGGGCATGTCAGTAGGATGGGATTACCTCACAGTATCCAGTATTTCCAGGCTTGAAACCCCAAGGAAGTGCTCCACTCTCTGCTTAACATCCCCAGCAAAGCCTCCTGAAACCATCCACAGGCAGAAGTGGTCAGAGAGGCCTGACCTTTGGGTGCTATGGGCGAAAAGGCACAGCATCTCAGGGGAACCCCAGTCAGGCTCACTGGCTGCTTTTTCATTGAGCATGTGAGAGAGATTTGTTTAAGATCGGGGGTGGAACTAAGAATGGTGTGGTGGTAGCAGCACTGTGTGCATGAGCCCGTGGCCTCACTACACAGTTCATGTTGCAAGTGTCCAGGTCATGGGAAGAGTGCTCTAGAGCACTCCAAACAAACTGCTGGGTGTGAGACCAGGGCAGACACACCTCCAAGTCAGCACAAGAGGCTGTCACAGGAAGCCAATGACAGATAGGTCCTTCTCTGTGTTGGGAGGCCTAGGTCCCAGTACAGTCATCCCTCAGAAACAGGAAGAGCTAAAGTCAACACCACTAACACCAATGACTTTTCAGTACTGGCGAGGGCTGTCTGCTTACTGTTTGCTAGTCTTTCTGCAACGAACAACTGACAGGAAAAAAAAAAGCTAAAATAAGACCACTTCTACATCTTTCCTCTACCCCATAGTTGTTAATGTTTTGGGGGGCTCTCCTGTCCATGTGGCCATCCTTTGAGCATTGTAAATTCCTACATGGTCTTATAATTTAAATGGGCATGGTTTACGTTACCAAGGCCCACTGCCTACACTTGTCTGAGCAGTGTCCATGCCTGGCTCCTGCAGCAGTGGGAGCACCCAGTTCTGCAGCCTGCATCTCAGGACACTTAGCACAGAGAACCTTCCGCATCTGCACCTGAGGCATGAATTTCTTATGTAGGTTTCCTAAGTCTGTGGGGCATGTCCGTTCTAGCTTCCTAGTCTACCCGTGGCTCAGACTAAGGATCTGGGTGTAGGCAATCCTGGACAGTGGCAGACGACAAGCTGACAAGCTGGTGGACAGACTGTAGACACGAGTCTTCTTCCCCTGTAAAGGACTGCAGTCCAGACAGAGCAGGCCAATGAATGGTCAAGGGAAACGAGCACCTGGTCTCCCACTTCCTGTCTGGCTAAGGGTAGGTAAAAGGCCTAAAACTGTTGACTGGAACATACCATGCACAAGTGACTGTAGACAGGCAGCCAGAGAAGGGATTCCCACAGGAAGCAGCTCACACAGCACAGAGAAGTGGTCGTACCTATGTCCAGAAGAAGTGTATTCAGCTCCATAGCCCTCAATTCATCTTATGATGTAGACGCCACGATCTGGGTACTCCTTCTCCTGTTTTGAGGGATTCCAAGGCTGAGACCCACTGTGGGCAGCCTGGTGTATCCGATTACCTGGATCATGGGACTTTACATTAAGTTTCTTATGAGGCCCCCAGGGAGGAGCCTGTGTGGGGAAATAGGCCCTGAGCACTTGGGTCCACTCCACAGTGTCCACCTGAGGTGGAGCATTTGTAGTCCTTATTGCCCCCTTTCTAGTACCAGTCTGCATCCTATCTATCCACCTCCTGCTTTCCCCTAAGGCCCAGGAGGTCAGCAGAGTAGAGTGGGCATCTGATCCCTCTGGTGCTGGGCAGAGAACCTCCTGGCCTGGTTTCTTTAGCTGTCAGGGGTAGAGAGGTGTTCCTCGAGTGTGACAGATGAAGGCTGATGAAAGAGCCAGGGACCAGAGATCACATCAGCCCCTCAGTTTTCCTTTACCTCTGTGAGTCACTAGCCACTGTGCAAGGCATAGGAAGGCTTCACTCTGTGTGAGTCTTGGTTTAACTCACACCCCAGTGCACTCTACTAGAATGGCGAATGCTTGATAAGTCTTCATGAACCATCGAGAATAGTAGACATGGACTGAAGCCATGAGCGACTATACAACCACACTAGACAACCTCACTTGGCTGAGAACCCTGCTCTGTAGACATATTTTGGAACCTGTGAAGGCTCCAGGGGACACCTTTCCAGCTCTTCTAGCAAAACTGCCAGCTTCAACTGGTCCAGCTCAAAGGTTGGAACCTGATGCTAGGATTTGGTCAGAACCAAAGACTGGGTTCATTCTATTTTTCAAAGGGTGTGACATCCTAAAAGAACCAGGACTAATCTTCATGTGGTATGTGAGACATACAGTATCATTCATGGAACATGCAAACCACAGAGACTAGAGGTCACGTGCTGTGGTTCTGAGCACTTTGGTGTTTCCTCAGCCACGAGGGAATGAAGACAATGAAGGGGCAAGGCCAGCACTAGACAGGCTGCCATCGTGGATGGGAACTGCTCTCCACACTCAGCCTGAGAGCTTACCTCTGCCAGCCAGTCAGAATGATTCCTTGCAGAGTATCCACTGGCCCACTGACTGCCACCTGGAGCCACTGCTCATGGTTTCTAACATGGTGCTCTATAGGCGGCAGGGCCTGACTCGCCCCTGTGGCCCCCTTGAAGGCACTGGCAGCCCACAGCCTCTGGAAGCCACACTCCTGGTACTTTCCCATGAGGAAGACTAGGTAAGAAAACAAGCAGATGAGCAGCTCTTACAGAGGAGCCCTGGACACACAGCCCAACCAGAGCAGCCCAGAGCCATGACTACCCTAGCAGAGAGGAGACTCCAACCATTCCCATATGGCCTGTGGTTTATCACTCATTGGGAACAAACATTTCAGGAAGAGCTGGAAAGAACCTGGGATGATCTGGAGCCAGCAGGGGATCTCATGCCAGCACAGGGGGCTTTGCATGGCCCTTCTGTTCCATGCTGGTCAGCCAAGCTAATGAGGTGCCTGTACTCCCAAGCTGAATAGTTCAGGTCACAGGGTCATGGAGGACTAGGAAACAATCATGCAGGCACATTCACCATGAGCAACTTGTACTAACTTTTGCTGTGGACATCCAGGTCAGCTCCATAGTCCCAGAGCACGGGCTCTACCAGATGAGGTACCCCAGATGCTGTCAACAGAGCAAAGCCATGAGTGTGGGAAAGACCACTCAGGTCACCCCCTACTCCTTACACATATTTGTTTTATACAGGGGTACAGGGGTCTCACTTTGCTGCCCAGGCTGGCCCTGAAATCTAATCCTCTTGCCTCACCTTCCTAAGTACTGAGATAATAGTCATGTGCCACCATGTTCACCTCTGGCAAATTCGTTTAATGTGGGAAAATAAACGTCTTCTCAGGTCTAGTGGGTTCTCAGTACAGCTTACAGCTGTGATAGGCTTTTGGCCGTAAATACCAGAGCTACAAATAATGTTTGTAGCTGCTTGCTTTTGTGAGGAGGGATTCCTACACTCTCCTCCGAGCTGCTGGCTTTGCAGCCTCAGGGAACTGGAATACATCTCTAATAGGAGCTGATTCTAATTCACTAATGTAAAACATACACTAGCCTGACAGAATGTAGGCACAGCTGGTCCTGGATCTCTGCACTGAGCCTCGGGGTTCAGTGGAGCTAGGTGATGTATGTAAGTGCTGTCTCCCAGGCTGGAGAAGGCACTCTACAGCTTTCATCTACAAGGCTGGTCACAGAGTACACATGGGGCTGTTAGAAGCACTGAACAGTCCCACGGCCCCTCTGGGCCTTCTGGCAGCCACACCAATTTCTGGCCGCACTCTTGAAAGACTGTATGGTGACTTGAAGGGAGGATTAAACCCAGCATTTTCACTGGAGCACACACATTAAGAGCCCACTTCCCACTTCCAAGGCCTCTGGAACTTGAGGTCTTGGGCAGCCACATGTAAGCCCCCATCCACCAGGCCCTGCCGACCTTTTAGCTGTTCCTGGGGGATGTCCCGTAGCATGTCATCCCACACCAAGGGTGTCGTGCCAGGGTGCTGTGCCAGCACATGGCTGGCTACTGCCTGCACGTGGGACAGACACAATTTCGCAAGGCTGTTCTGTTCCTGCTGTAGCCACTGTTTTGAGGTCTCCCCCTCGCCCAAGTAGTAGACCTAGGAGGAAGAAACAGGATGGGATTGCATCTGTTGCCGTCTTACATCCACAGGATTCACACCGGTCTTGAATCTTGGACAGAGGAGACTAAGAAAGGAGCTCAGATTCTTGGTCTTTTGGGTTCAAAGCAGCCTCCCAGTGCAGGGTTAGAGGTGGCAGCCACCATGTCCAGCTCTAATTTTCTTTTAAAAGTGGAAATTTCAGCCGGGTGGTAGTAGTGGTGCATGCTTTTAATCCCAGCACTTGGGAGGCTAGAGACAGGAGGATCTCTGTAAGTTTGAGGCCAGCATGGTCTACACAGCAAGTTCCAGGACAGGCTCCAAAGCTACACAGAGAAACCCTGTCTTGTGGCGGGATGCAGGTGGGGGAGGGATCTCAGAGTTGAATGCCTACAAACCCAGGCTGTGGTCTTTGTCTCAGAGCTCCTCCAGTACTGCCCCACGTCTGGAATCTAGCCAGATAGGAAGAGGGGTAGAGGCTAGCCACCGGGCAGGCTAGGTAGGAGGACACACCACAGAGACCCCAGGGGAACATTTTTCCCAAATAGTGTTTCAAGATCCAAACACTTTCTCCTCTCGACACCTCAAACTGCATTTCTTTTGCTAGAACAGTTTGAAAGGGCATGGATTTGTTCACGGCTGGGACTGGCTCTGTCCCTGCAGGAGGAGGAGGAAGTAAAGAAGTCTGTCCCTCTAGAAGTAGTGACATCTGGTATACGGGGTACCTTGCTTGGGCTATGTAGGACTGCCCTATGCCAGGTGACACTCCTCTCCAGAGATGTCATCTAGAATAGGTCCCTAAATAGGACTATCTCCTTGGCAATCCCTGCCTTTATTCTTTAGTATTTGGACTATTTCTCTATTTAAAAAGAATCCACAGTTCCTGGCACATGCCTATAATTCTAGCGTTTGGCAGGTTGAGGCAGAAGAATCAAAAGTTCAAACCAGCCTAGATAATGTAATGAAACTGTATCTCAAAAATTTTTAAATTAGGGGCTGGAGAGATGGCTCAGTGGTTAAGAGCATTGCCTGCTCTTCCAAAGGTCCTGAGTTCAATTCCTGGCAACCACATGGTGGCTCACAACCATCTATAATGAGGTCTGGTGCCCTCTTCTGGTCTGCAGACATACACACAGACAGAATATTGTATACATAATAAATAAATAAATATATTAAAAAAAAAATTTTAAATTAAATTAAGCCAAAAGAAAACAAAGAGGGGGCTGGAGAGATTGCTCAGAGCACTGGAAGCTCTTCCAGAGGATCCAGCTTTGACTCCCAGCACCCACAGGGTGGCTCACAGCCATCTGTAATTCCAGTGCCAGGCAATCCTGACACTCTCTTCTGGCCCCTGTGGGCACCAGGCACACACAGACAAATATGCAGGTGAAATATTCATACACATAAAATAAATAAGTAAATACAAAAAAAAAGAGAAAAGAAAAGAGAAAGAAGCCATGACATGAGATAGGGTGTCTTTGAAGAAAAGAGGCTGCAGACCTTGAGAGCAAAGGTACTCACCTCATCACAGCCAATGTGGAGCCACCGGACACCCCTGTGTAGCGCCATGATCTGGTCAATCATATCTTTTACCAATGCTAGCGACTCAGCCTCATGAGGGTTCAGGGTGTTGGGGAAGAGAGCCACTTCACGGAGGTGTGCAAATTCTGCATGCTTTAGCACAAACTATGGCGAGACAAGGACAGAGGGAAGCTGGTGCTTAAGGACCCTGGTCCCCATGATGTCCCTGGCAAGAGTTCCAAGCTTATGTTGTTTAATTGACAGTGTGCCTGAGGGCCAGCTGGGTGGCCTGCAAAGATGACTCCTGTCTCTTCCAGATGTCTGCAGCTGAGAAAACTTGAGAGCCCGCAGGGCAGTAGCCTCTACCTCTGCTTGAGCTGGGTTCTAAACCCTCTAGCTGGTTCCTCAGCAGCCTCTTCCTTTCCCTCTTCCCTTCCCCCCTCCTTCTCTGTCTCCGTGGTGTTGGGACTTTAACGCAAGGCCTTGCACGTGTAGTAAGTTACTTTACTAGATGACTTACTAGTATCTCTAACTGTGCTGGATCGCTAGCTTCTTTTTACGTACACGGGTGTTTTGCTTGCTTGGGTTAGGGGTCTGGGCACCACATATGTCTAGTGCCCATGAGGCCAGAAAGAGAGCATTAGATCCCGTAGAACTGGAGTCACAGGCAGTTTTGAGCAGCCTTGTGCGTGCTGGGAATCAAACTTAGGTTCTCTGGAGGAGCAGCCAGTGGTCTTAACAGTTCCAGCCCTCCAGTCCTCTTTTCTTTTTAAATTTTATTGTAGAGGAATGAATGCAACTGCATCCTACAAGCCATTAAATCAACACCAGGTTTGCTTCTCAGTTGTCTTACACATGAGAAATAATTTTGAATACTGGTAAAAAGACACAAGCAGAAAATGGAAGACTTCCTTCCTTCCTCCCTCCCTCCCTCCCTCTCTCCCTCTCTCTCTCCTTCCTTCCTAGCAAAGCTGCCCTGACCAAGAGTGTGCTCTCTGGCTGCTGACAACAGGGGTTCAGGCAGCATGCCTATGCCTATCCTGTCAGGCCCTGCTGCCTCACACTGGAGCCCAAACCCAGTCTCTGAAACCCACACTGGTAATTTTCACTCCTCTGCTCACCTCCATGTGTCCAAACGTCTGCACCAAGGGAACCACTTCCAGCTCACTGAGCTCGGCCAGGCGCAAGATCTCTGCAACTTCAGAGGGGCTGGAGTGGTAAGAGCACAGAGGCCTGTGTCAGTCCAGCCCAGTCCTTCCCTCCCTTTGCATCTTATACGGACTGGTCACAGGGTCATCCTGCACCTGCTTTTATACAGCCCTTAACCTAAGAAAGGGTCCCTTCAGCCGCCCCCCCCCCCCTTATTTTACTCTGAAAGACAAACAAATGCTCACTGTTTGGAAAGCAGCAGAGCACAGTGAGCAGACAAACCTACACCAGGCACAGATGCACTGGAGAACTGGGACACCCAGAGCCATACTGCCCTCTAGCGTGTGGTCACTTCCCATTCCTCCAGCCAGAGGCTGGCTTCCCTCTTCCCACAGCCACAGAACATGGCCTTTGGTTTGTTTGGGACTTTTTGAAACAGGATGACAGTCCATGCTCCTGCCTGGGCCATTCGAGACTAGCATTATAGGCAGTTATCCCATGCCTAACTAAAGAATCAGCAATGACCACACCTATACCCCCTGATCCGCTGCTTGGGATCAAACCCAATACCTTGTGTATGCTAGGCAAGCACTCAATCACTGAGTTACGTCCTAAGCTTCACCAGTTCAGTAACTAAAATGACATTTCAAATTTGTTTTAATCTTGATTTCTATGAGAGGCTTAGTATTTTCCCACCTGCCTATACATTCCAAGGTTCAAATCAAACTGTGAGAAGCTGGGGAGATCATTCAGTGGTTGAAATGCCTGTTACATAAGAAAGAGAACTAGAATTCAGATCCCTGGACCCCAGTAAGTGCTGGGCGAGCATGGTGGTTCATCTGCATTCCCAGTGCGCAGAAGGCACAGACAGGCAATCCCAGACCAAACTGGCTTGCCAGACTAGCCAAAATGGTGTGTTCTGGATTCAACTAAAGACGCTGCCTTAATAAGTAAAGTGAGAGCGATAAAGACTTGGGATGTCGGGCCTCCACATGTGCTTGCACACATCCATCCAGACACACGTGAATGCAAAAACACACACACACACACACACACAGGATATAGACATACAAACACATGAGAAAAAACATCCAATTGTGGCCTTAAAAGCAGCCCAGTCCCAGCTGTCCCATGTCTTCCCCATAGGTCAGAACAAGTGTTCATTTTCTCTTTTTAAATGCTTCTTGATTACCTTAAATGAGTATGTTTTACTTAAAAAATACTTCCTGCATGTGTGTGTGGGCTCACGTTCTGTGTGTGCCTGTGCCTGTGGGAACCTGAGGAAGTTAGAGGAGAACATTGGATTCCCTGGAATTACAAGTGGTTGTAAGTCACGACATGAGTCCTGGGAACCAAACCCAGACCTTCTGTAAAAGCAGTAAGTGCTCCTAAACACAAGGACATCCCTCCAGGCGCTCAATGTTTTACTTAAATCAATTTTTTTTTTTGTATGAGTGTTTTGCCACAGTTTTGTTTGTTTTTTCTCTGTGTAAAAACCCTGGCTATCTGGAAACTCATTTATAGTTCCAGGCTGGCCATGAACTCACAGAGATCTACCTGCCTCTGCCTTCCAAGCACTGGGATTAAATGCTACACCATCACCGCCCTGCCAGCTTTGTTTCTGAGACAGGATTTCACTCTGCAGCCGAAGCCGATCTTTGACTTTCAACAATCATTCTATCTCAGCCTCCCAAGTCAGCCACCACACCAGGCTACATGTTTTAATTTTGTAACCAACTTATATAAATAAAGACATATGCTTAGAAAGTCAGAAAAGGAATGTAAAACATTAGATTCCAGTTATCCACCCACAGCTCTGCACAAGCCATCCTTCTTGGAGGCCCTCAGGCCCCACTTGGCATCCTCCGCTAGCTTTGGTACCTGTACGCATGTTTGGCCCTCAGCAGCAGCAGGCGGCCCTCGTAGGGAAACATGTCTTCATACTCAAGGAGGAGACCATTTGCACCGAGTGCATGGAATAAGGGAAAAACCTGGAGGGAAACAGGGCGTTAAAAACGTGGCAATCTGAACAACGAAGGACTTAGCTAAATGTGCACCTTTTTCCTTTCTCAGTTTTGGAGAAACTGATATTCATATTTCTCTCTTACAAACTTTAAATCTGGAATGTGTATTTGATCTTTGCCTAACAAATTCTTGGTTAACAACATACCTATTTAGCACAGGACTGTAATGTGCCATTCAACAGTTGTTACCAAAGAAAAATGAATTCCAGTGGTTCAGCCCAGGGAGAACTTGTGCCAGCTGGGAGTCATCCTGGAGCCAGGCCAGAGGGGCCTAATGCTAGAGCCTGTGTGCTCTAGCAGCAGGGGGCGCCGAGAGCAGCTCTGGAGATGAGGTCAGCCTCTAGGGAGGAAAAGCAGGTGGGGTGTGTCCAGAGGAAGGTTGGAAGTCTCAAAGTTTGTTTCTCTCTGTTCTGTTAGGAATATTTCCTAACGTGAGCTCCCTGCCAACACAAAATTCCCAATCAAGCCAAATCAAGAAAGATCCAGGTTTAATGGGAGTTCTGCACTCTCGGGTGGCCCCAGGGGAAAACTGGAAAACTGCAGGAGCGCGACCCCCCCCCCCCCAGAGGAAGAAAGGGAGACCACATGCTTCTCTTTGGGGTGGGGGGGGATCACTTAAATACCCTGACCCCACCTCCAGGGAGGAGTCAGGACCTGGCCTACTGGGATTTGGAGTCCAGACCAGGCCTGGGGACTGGGATAGAAGCGAGGGGCAGGGGCCTATGCTCCCAATTTGACACTCCAGACTTCCTTCCCGATTTTTATGTGATGCTGCGTAGGAATTCCCTATCTTTGGGAGGTTTTGGACCTGTTTATTCCTTCTACACAGACTAACTGGGAATTTTTTTTTTCTGGTCTGAGGTCAAGGCTAGTGATTTTAAAAACAAAACAAAACAAAAACAAAACCCACAATGTAGGCACTATTTGAGGAAGCTTCTATCCATATTCTAAACAGCCATCAGTCTCCAAATAAGGATTCAAATGTTTTCTGTGCCACATAACATGTTTTCTTTCTTTTTGAAACATTTTATTGGTGTTTTGCTTATATGTATGTCTGTGTGAGGGTTCTGGATCCTGCAGTGATAGTTAAGAGCTGCCATATGGGTGGTATGGATTGAATCCTCTTCCAGAGGACCAGCCCCAAACAGGAAGGTACTAAAGCATGCCGAATCAACGAAATCAGTTCAGGACTGAAAATTAGCCGTGGATGAGTCACAAAATGGGTATTAAGTGATTACAAATCACAGAGGCCATCTGACCATTGAGAAGTAATCTAACTCAATGATCCAAATTGAGATAAAGTGGAATGATGGTGAATGGATCTGTTTCCCCAGTGTTCTTGCCTCTAGCTTCCTCTTTGCTCTGCGCTTATGGGCTGGGAAAGACCATTTGTTGTACAGATGTCTGAGAGCCTGAGACTAGGGAGGCGGAACCTCACAGACACAGGAGACTCTGGGCTTTCATGTCTTAGATAGTTCGGAGGTTTCACTGTTGAGCTGTGTAAACATATATCGTAAGCTAATGTTCATTTTTCTCTTGGTATGGAATACTTTTTTGTTGTTTTTCTGTGTAACAGCTTTGGCTGTCCTGGAACTCACTTTGTAAACTAGGCTGACCTTAAACTCACAAAGATCTGCCTGCCTGTTTGCAGTTTTCTCTTTAAAATCTCTTTACCCTGAAGCCTGGTTCTCCCTAACCCCTGTGCCAGTGTCAGATTATGATCTGAGTTAGTTAACGGTGTAATCAATACACCCCAGTATGTTTGCATCGGATACCAGCTCTGTGGTGGTCTTGTTTGGGGGTTCCATGTGACAAGGTATACCTTACAAGGGCTGATGAGATTACAGATATAAATCGTAACCCCAGCCCCTCAGATTAAATTTTTTTCTTTTAACATTTAAAGGGTGTGGGGGCCACAGTGCCTATGTAAAGATCAGAAAACTGGGGACATGGTTCTCTTCTTTCTTTATAAGGGTCCAGGATAAAACTCATGTCATCAGGCTGGTAGGACCCGTCATTCACTAGCCCCTTGAGCAGATTTTTGGTTTTTCAAGACAGGGTCTTTCTGTGAGCCAGTGCTGGTTGTCCTGGAACTCACAGAGAACTGACTGTCTTTGCTTCCTGCTTATATAAGGTTTTTTTTTTGAGACAGGATATCATACTGCACTCCAGGCGGCTCTAGAACTATGAAGCCCACACTTGCCTCTTCCTGTATCAGCCTCTCACTGATAACAAATACTGTGTTTTGATTTCAAAATTATTTGCTAAAATTTATTTGCTGAAAATCACCGACATTTGTTCTCCATGGGTCTCAAAATGGTTCTGATTACATTCTCAAAAGTCCCTTAGCATATCTACATTCCTGAAGCTGGTCGTTAGCGACAGTCAAGTTAGAAATATTACATTTGTTTATGTGCGTGTGGACAGAGGACACCCTGCAGGAGTCAATTCTGTCCTTCCATCTGTGGGGCCTAGGGACCACATTCAGGTTGTCAGGTTTAGTAGCAAGGGACTTTATCCACTAAGCCATCTCGCTGACCATGTCTTTAAAAGCCAAGTTTCATTCTCTGGGCAAGAACATTTCCAAAACGGCACCGGAGGGGGCACATCTGACAGGAGTTCAGATGGCACTGGCCAGAGCCGCCATGGACCCTCTTCCCAGGTGGTACTGCCCGAGTTATTGCAGCTAGCATGTCAGGAGGATTACTAAGTGAGAGCTCTCCTTTTTTCTTCCTCCTCCCCTTTTCAGTAGGAGGGGTATGATATGTGTCGAAACAGGGGCTCTCATGTAGTAAAACCTGGCCTCAAAATCACTATGTAGCTGAGGATGACCTTGAACTGACCTTCCTGTCTCCACCTCCTAAGTGCTAGGATCTGGTCTGTCACAAACCACCTTGCTTGCTTTCTCCCTCCCTCCCTTTCTCTTTCTTCCTTCCCTTCTTCTTCTTTTTTTTCCCCCCAAGACAGGATTTCTCTGTAGTTTTGGAGCCTGTCCTGGAACTAGCTCTTGTAGACCAGGCTGGCCTTGAACTCACAGAACTCTGTCTGCTTTTGCCTCCCGAGTGCTGGGATTAAAGGTATGCGCCACCACCACCAGGCACCTTTCTTTCTTTCCTTTTGTATTATTTACTTTTATCTTATGCAGAATTAAGTCTTCCTTCCTTTTCCTTTCTTTTGTATTATTTATTTTTAGCTTATGCAGAATTTATTCCTATAATGTATGCTTTTGTTTCTTCAGTTTTTTTGGGACATCTTTTCCTTCTTCACAGCCACCTCCTCTAGCTTAGAAACAATGTGGTCCTTTTTAGTGAGGATCATTTAGATATTGAGGTGGAGGGGTTATATGGGTTAATCCCGTATGGGCTCTGTAACTAGGCTGTGTATCTCAGGTACTTTGCCTACTTGGATATATTTAATGATTAGACAGCACTTTTAAGCCCTCAGTTCATCAATGCTCTGCATTTTTGAGACAGGGTCTCATGTAGCCCAGGCTGACCTTGAATTTTCTATATAGTTAAAGGTGACCTTGAACTCCTGAACACCCCCCCCCACACACACACACACCGTTTCCACTTCCTAAATGCTGACTACAGGCCTCGCCTCTCATCTCTTATTCTGCTGGCCACCTGGAACCTGTTCTGTAGACCAGGCTAGCCTCAAACTTAGAGATCTACTTACTTCTGCCTATTGAATGCTGGGATTGAAGGATGTGCTCCATCACTGCCTGCTATTTCCTCTGCATTTTTCAAAAAAAAATTATTTATTTATTTATTTAATGTATATGAGTGCTCTATCTGCACGTATGCCTATATGCCAGAAGAGGGCATGAGATTTAACTATAGAAGGCTGTGAGGCACCATGTGGTTGCTGGGAATTGAATTCAGGTCCTCTGGAAGAGCAGCTGGTACTCTAACCACTGAGCCATCTCTCCAGATATTGTTCTATATTTTTTGTTCTGTTTTGTTTGTTTTTCAAGACAGGGTTTCTCTGTGTACAGCCCTGGCTGTCCCGGAACTCACTCTGTAGACCAGGCTGGCCTCAAACTTAAAGATCCGCCTGCCTCTACCTCCTGAGTGCTGGGATTAAAAGCGTGTGCTAGCACCACCACCCAGCCCCTGCTGAGCTGTTTCACCAGCTCTCCATCACCACATCTTTATTTTTCAAGTGTTTTATGAGACAGGGTCTCTGTGTGTAACAGCCCTGGATGTCCTGGAATTTGCTCTGTATACTCAGAGATCCACCTGTCTCTGCCTCCCAAGTGCTGGGATTAAAGGTCTTTACTACCACTGCCAAGCACCACCTCTTGAGACAATGTCTCACGTAGGTCAGGATCAATGCTGGCCTTGACCTCCTGAAGCTCCTGTCTCTACTTCCCCAGTACTGGGATTACAGATGATTGCTACTATGTTCATGCTGAAGAATGTATTGGTATTCTAGGACTGTTGTTAAGAATTGATCACACATGAAATAGCCTCAAATAACAGGAATTTTCTCTCATAGTTCTGGAGGCCAGGAGATAGCAGGGCCTGCTTTCTCTGAAGGCTTCATGGGAGAGTCCTTCTTGCCTCTTCCAACTTATGGTAGTTAAAACTATCCTTCATGTTCACTGATCTGTGATATTGTTCCCGTCTCTGCTTCTGTTGTCACAGGGTGTCCTTCTTGCATGTCTTTTCCTCTTCCCTGCGTCTAAAACCTCTGCTTCTACCTGAGTTTAGATCCCCAACAGTTATGTAAAAGCTAGGTATGGGGGTGTATGCCTGTAATCCCAGCACTGGCAGGGTAGAGACAGGCAGATTATGGGGTTTATCTGAAATGGTGAGTTCCAGGTTCACTGAGAGATCCTGTTCCCCCCCCCAATACAGTGATAGAGGAAACCATCTGTTGTTGACCTCTGATCATGGGTGATACAGTGTGCTTCCCCAAAACATATACCTCACACACAAGTCACCTTTTTTTGAACAGTAACTCTTATTTATTTATTCATTTATTTTTTTTAAGATTTATTTATTATGTATACAGTGTTCTATATGCCTGCAGGCTGGAAGAGGGCACCAGATCTCATCTTGGATGATTGTGAGCCACCATGTGGTTGCTGGGAGTTGAACTCAGGACCTTTGGAAGAACAGTAAGTGCTCTTAACCTCTGAGCCATCTCTCCAGCCCCTATTCATTTAACTTTTACGTGTGTTGGTATTTGGCCTGCATGTATGTCTGTTTGAGGGTGTCAGCTCCATTGGGGCTTGAGTTACAGACTGTGGGTGCTGCCATGTGGGTGCTGGGAATTGAAACTGGGTCTTTTGGAAGAGCTGCCAATGCTCTTAAATACGGAGTCATCTCTCCAGCCCCTTAATCCACCTTTCTTATTCAGACTCACAGAAATCAAGTATGACCTCATCTTAACTGGCCAACTCTACATGGACTGTTTTCGGGTCAGGTCACTGTACAGGCACTAAGTGTTAAGACTTGAATTTTTCTTTCTGGTGGATACAGTTCAGTACCAACAAAGACATTATGGTTTCTTCTGTTCTTTGTGCCATCCTGGTTGTTCTGTCTGGTTTTGAGGGGCAATGGGAGAAAAAGAAAAATCTATGCTCTGTTGCCACCCTGCCTGATCCAGAATCCCCACAGTTATGTCACCAGTGCCCATTGCCACAGAGGAAAAGGTGATTATCTAGAGGCAAACGGAGTCCTTACCTCAGAGAGGTACGAAACTTTCGGAGGTGCTCCTTTAAGGTCCAAATGAACGAATCTCATCTTAAATGGCGTGGCACGTGACATGTTGATTTTTTTTGTGTGAATTATTATAACAGGATCTTCGTTTGGGACTTCTTCCTGGTGGACAGAACTCAGGTTACAACCAGGAGCAGAGGAAGCCTCTCTCCCTTTCTTTTTCAGTTCTGATAACAGCCAATTTTGCTCCATTACACCAGAGGAAACTCATTTTACTAATATAAAAATGAACCGAAAAGTTCATTTCCATATTCAAATATAGTATTTGTGTATTGCCCCCAAATAGAAAACTACTGATTTCCTTGTGAGATAATTATGATTTATAGCAACCAAAAAACTCTGCAGGCCCAGCAGTGGTAAACACCTGTAACACCTTTCCCACTCCATCCCCACCCGAGGAGGGAACAATGGAAGTTTAAGGTTTGCCTGGGCTATAAAGGAAAGTCAAGGTTAGCCTTGGCAACTTAATGAGACCCTGTCTCCATATTAATAAGTAAAACAAAATCCGGGGATATAGTTTAGTGATACAACACTTGTCTAGCACGCATAAGGCCTTAGGTTCAATTCCTAGTACTGAAAACACACGGCAATGATAATTGGGATAGGAAGTGTGGCTAGCTCCATGATACAGCACTTGCTCCCTATGCCAGAAGCCCTGGGGATAATAATAATTTGAAAAGGGAATAAACTTTACATATATCGGAGCTAAGTGTAGTTTGCATTAAAATTAATTTCCGGATGATACTGAAGCTGCCAGGAAATTAAAGAAACAGTTGTACACCTTTTACAAAACCATAAAGGATTATTAAGGAAAGGAGTTAATGCATTCTGTTCCATGATTTCACCTGCTGCAAGGATTCAAAGCCATAGCCTTAGGGGCCCCGACCCGCCCACTCGCAGCCAGGAAATACTTGTCCAAGAGGCAGGTCTGGCAGTTCAAAGTCCCTGACCGGATTCTCAGTGCAGCTTTGGGGGAAGAGGTTGGCGGCCGTGGGAAACAGGCCATCCTGGCACAGCCCACCGTCCGACTGCGGGTTTGACTCACCCACGCCGGAGCCTCAGGACTGCTCGGCACCGCTCCGGGGGTACGCGCACCTCCGAAGGCGCCCCGGAGCAGCGGCGCCCAGGGCCGAGAAGGCCCCGCCCCCCCACTCGGCCTCCGATTGCTCACGTCTGGCCGCGAGCCGACCGAGGGCCGAGCGCGTCGCTCCCGCGTCCCCGCACCGAGTCCACCTCGCGCTCGCTGTCGCGGCTGTTGCCCCGGGTTTAGCGGCTCTCGTGTCCCTCCTGGCCCCGTGGCGGCCAGGCCCAATGGCGCCTCAGCGGAGGGGACCACCCAGAGTTCCCGAGGGAAGTAGTGCAGCCGAGCGCCGGCGCGCGAACAGGTAGCGAGGACCGCGGGAGGCCACGCGCAATAGCGCGCGGGGCCTGACTTGTGGCGTGTGGGCGTGGCTATTCCGGGGGCGGAGCCTGGTGGGAGGTGGGCGTGGTCATCCCACGAGTGGAGCGTGGTCATGACAAGACAGGGAGGTATGGGATGGGTCCAGCCCTATTGCAAGGTGATTGGGCGTGACTTAGAGAGAGCACGTGGTCTGGAGTATTCTGCTGCAAACCTCCCACGGTGAGATGTCTGCGTGGATGCCCACCAAGGAGCTCTGCAGGCCCTACCCACAGGGGGCTTCATCCTTGGAGTGGGTTTGCGTTCAGTCTCGTGAGCAGGCTTCTCTCACTAGGGGCCATTTCTGGGCCTCTATGACTCCCTTCTGCTGTTATGTACACGTCCCATCTCCCTACATGTCTGCCGGTTACCTCGCCCGAAACTGACCTTGTGGGCCTCTGACAAACCTATACCTGAATCCAAAGGATGGAGCCTTTGGGGACAGGGACCTAGCTCTTGACAACTCTGCGTGTATTTCAAGACCTATGGCCCGTGAGGCCTTTCCTGGACAGCAGAACTCATATACTCCAGAGATCTGTTGAGACACAGACACAGCTTCATCAGAACCACGCAGACCTGGGTCGTAGGGGCATCTTAACTTATACATCATTTCTGACATTCTTCTGTGCTCTTTCTGGCCCCAGATTTATGATTTGAGTTAAGTGGATTTAATTCGCGTAAGTTGGTTCAAGTACACATGTATTCTTGTAGAGATACATGCTTGGGTGAGGCAATCAAACAGAGATGCAGGAGAGTAATTAGAGATCGTGGCAATCCTCCAGATTGGAACTCTGTGGTCTGGGTAGGAAGTACCAATGATCAACCCTCGTTTTTTGTCCATTGAAGCACGTGCTCAGCCCTGTCTGATCAGAGGAGACAAGGCCACATACTGCCTGGGAAGCTCCTCTGAGGGGTGGTGCATGATGGGCACCCCGATCAGCTGGGTGGATTGTAGACCGAGGTAGATACTCCTGTTTCCCACTACCTACTTCATAATCAGCCCATGGGTTCCTGCAATATCTCAAGACTGATAGGGGTCCATCCACTTTGATCAGAGGTCAGTATAGGCACAGCCCACGGTTTTGATTGGCATGCTTACTGTGACAGCTGCATCTAGTGGTTGTGTTTTCTGTTCTCAGCGCCAAGAAGGACCGGCTGCCTCAGGAATCACAGAGGACATGGCTAAGGACTGTGGCCCTTGGAGTCGGCCTTGCTCTGATCACATTCCTGCTCTGGAGTAGTCTGGGGACCAATGATGATGTTGCTGAAGTATTGGCCCGTCGTGGTGAGGTCCTAGAAGGCAGGTTCATTGAGGTTCCCTGCTCGGAGGACTATGATGGTCACCGAAGATTTGAAGGTATGTGCCACAGATTTCTCAATAAAGAGTGACTGGTAGGGAAAAACAAGCTGGGCGGTGGTGATGCACACCTTTAATCCCAGCACTTGAGAGGCAGAGACAGGTGGATCTCTGTGAGTTCAAAGCCAGCCTTGTCCAGGACAGCCAGGAGAAACCTCAAAAAACCAAAAACCAAACCAAAAAAAGAAAGAAAAAAGAAAAGAAAAGAAAAGAAAAGAAAGAAAGAAAGAAAAAGAAGAAAGAGTGTATGGTAGAGATGACTCATATTAAAGAAAACTTGTTGCTTTTCCAGAGGACCTGAGTTAAATTCCTAGCACCTTTGACAGGCCGCTGACAACTACCTGTAACTCTACCTTCAGGAGATTCAACCCCTTCTTCTGCAGGCACCTGCAATCACATACACACAGATATACACAAAGTCAAAGGGACAGAAATGAAATCCAACATTGCTTTTTGCTACACCTGGAATCGGTTGAAAATGGTATATTTGGACAGAGACGAATTTTCCATTTCCAGGTAGGCAAGCCCACACTGAGCTGGAGAGTAAAGAGGTTTCAGGGCCATCCTCCGGTGCCACTCTGGCATAGACATCATCTTAGCAAGCTTCTGTGCCCAGAGGCGGTGTACAGAGAAGTAACAGGATTACCAAGGTGAGAAAGGGTCAGCAAGATGGCTTGGCAGTTAAAAGTACATAATACCAAGTCAGATGGCCTCAGTTCAATATCCTAAACCCACATGGTGGAAGAGAATCAACTCCCATAAGTAGTTGAGTAAGTAGAACCAACTCTGACCTCTAAATAATAAATGTAATAATAATAAATAATGACTAATAATAAATAAATGTAAAAAAGAGTTCCGGAAAGGTGAGGATGATACGTGGGAGACCAAGGTGATGGTAAGGAATGCCCAGAAAGTGTGATGGGAAGAATGTCATCCCAGGTCACAGCTTTGCTGCTCCACCTATGGCACTGGTTGAGGCAGGAAGGAGCAGCCGGCTGGTTACAGACTGGAGCCCTGGGGAAATAGAGGAGGAGCCACAGAGTCAGGACCACAGCGCCAGGTGAAGACAGCACCCTGGAGAACACACACCCCTGGGCCAGATGGATCTGGTGGGGTGCAGGCCTTCTTGGGCTGCAGCTTTCCTGAAAACGTTTTCTACCACCCAGATACATTGTTTCTCAAATGTAGTACTTGGGTCTTGTAGACAGACTTTTCTTTCCCCCACCAGTTCCCAAATAACCGACATGAAGACTCAATATTAGTTATAAATACTTGGCCAATAGTTTAGGCTTATTATTAGGTAATTCTTACAACTTAAATCAACCCACTTCTGTTATTCTACATATTGCCATGTGGTTTATGGCTTTACCTATTCTCCAACATGTCTTGAAGCATCTCCTGGCTATTCCTCTGATTCCGCCCTTTTCCTTCCCAGTGTCTTTAGTATGGTTTTTCTGCCTGACCTTATCCTTTTCAGCTATTGGCTAGTTGGCTTCTTATTGAACAAATCACAGTGTAATTTACAGTGTACAGAAGGATTATTTTGCAGCAGGACCTGGCTCTAAATAAACCATAAAAATGGTATAGTTGTTTATTTGTTTTTTTTTTTTTTTTTTTGCTCTTTGGGGGCCCACCACCCATCTCCCAAATAAATACATGGAGACTTATTCTTACTTCTGAATGCCTGGCCTTAACTTGGCTTATTTCTAGTTAGCTTTTCTTAACTTAAATTAACCATTTCTCTTCTACATTATGCCTCTGGGGTTTTACCTTTCTCTATTCTATATACCTTGCTTTCCTTCTTACTCCATGGCTGGCTGTGTGCTGGATGACTGACCCCTGGCATCGTCTCTCTTTCTCCTTTTCTTGCTCTCTCCTCTTCCCTTTTCTCTTACTTATTTTCTCTGCCTGCCAGCCCTACCTATCCTTCTCCTGCCTAGCTTTTGACCGTTCAGTTCTTTATTAGAACAATCGGGTGTTTTAGGCAGGCAAAGTCACACAGCTTTACAGAGTTAAGCAAATGCAACATAAAAGAATGGAACACATCTTTGCATCTTTAAATAAATATTTCATAGCGTAAACAAATATAACACATCTTAAACTGATATTCCACAACAGGATGGATTATTTTTTTACTCAAGTAATGTTTTGGATTTGGATGAAGAAAAGAATCTATGTTCTTCCACTAAGGGGCACTGTTGTGATACACAAGAGCTTAGCACTCAGTCACATGGGAGATGGCCGGGGAGTGCTCTGTGGACTGGGTGGCCAAAGAGCAAGGGTGCATGATTTTCTCCTTCAGCAGTCAGTAAAATAAGCATGTTTCTGTTGTGTTGGATGCTCTGTCCTAGGACTTTTTCATTCAAACATCTTAATTTATAACACACACATACACACATACACGCACGCACGCACGTCCACACACACACTCACTCACACACACTCACACACACAATAAATGGCAGTTTCCCATCCAGAGTTTACATATCTGGCAGGAAGACCCCCAGAGTTTACAGCCCCATCTCATCAGTAAGAGCATTACACAGCTCACTCCATCCCGGCCATCTCCCCACGGCCGCGAACCCCATCACACTCTCCCCATCTAAGCTGCGTCTGACTTCCTTCCTCTCAGTGTCTGCACGACCCCGAGGTGGAAGGAGATACAGAGATGAGTGTGGCAGGCGGGTGCTGGGGTCCTGGAGAAGGATAGTGACCAGAATGACAGGTTCAGCTTGGGCTGTGCCAGAACTTTCCAGGGGGTATTTAAGAGTGCTCAAACCAGCAAGCAAGATGAAGAATGTTGCCAAACTGTTAGTGTGCTAGTATAGGCCTGTAATCTCAGAACTCAGGAGGCTGAGGCAGAAAGTTCTTAAATTTGAGGCAGCGTGAGATACATAGTGAGACCTTGTTTCTAACAAACAAGACAGAGCAAAACGGAGATGTCATGTGCAATGTTTGGAGGTTTCCTTGTTTTCCCAGGGTTTGGGGGCAGTGACTGGTGCTGGGATCAGCCTATCCAGTGTGGGTCTGTGAGAAACCCAGGACACCTGGCAGGAAGGAGACGTGAGCTCTAAAACTGCACAGGGCACAGTTCTGGTGAAAAGTTACCACTGTTTGTCTGAAGTTGACTTTTAACTAGGTGTATTTGCCATACTTGCCCCCTCGTCACAGTGGAGGGCCTTGCCAGCTCAGCTGTGATCTTGGGGCAGTGGCTT